GTGAGCAGCTCCTCCGAGAAGGGTGCAGGCGGCCCCCAGAATGTGCACGGGCGGGCGTGAAGGGTGTCGGAGCGGCTGGGCGGGGGGGCGTGTGTACCCGGGGAGGCCTGAGCCCAGCGGGATGGGACTGGGTGGGAATGGATGGCGGTGGAATGGGGGGAGAGGCTGGGTTGGGTGTGCGGGGACCAGGTCTGGAGGGAGGACGGAACTGTCCCCCACGTGTAGGATTGGGGTGCAGGAATGTATAGGGTCTGGTGTTGGAGCAGGGAGGGTGGGGGGGCAGCCTGTGCGGGTGCTGGGAGCAGACACCTGACCCCTTTGTGGGCTGCTGGGGTCGCAGAGGGCAAAGGCTGCCTGTGTATGCGGACCCCACCGCCGGCCCTTGTCACCCTCAGGTGCGGTCCCCCCTGTCTGACTCCATCCTGGGGGAGCAGGCGCTGGCCGTGACAGATGACAAGGTCTCGGTGCTGGAGCTGCGGGTGCAGCCGGTCATGGGCCTATCACTGGCCCTGAGCCGGGGCACCGCCCACCCGGGGGAGGTCACAGCCACGTGCTGGGCGCAGTCAGCCCTTCCCGCCCCAAAGCAGGTGACAGCTGGGGGTCAGGGGGCTACGGTCAGTATCCCCAGGTGGGGGTTGGTGACGGGAGTGGGAGGGACCGCGACCCCTCACCTCAGGGTTTCAGAATAAGGACTGGCCGCCCTGGAAGGTAGTGAGCTCTCCGTGGCTAGAGGTGGCCAAGCAGCGGCCGGAGTGTGTCAGTGGGAGGTTGATTATGGCTCTAAACTGAGGACCCTCCCGATGGCTCGGACCCTGGGGCCGAGTGGCCGACAGGCGATTGACGCCCGTCCCCTCTCTCCCTGTGTTTGTCCATCTGCCTGTCTGTTTCCTCTCTGGTCCCTCCCCTCCGTGTGGCCTGTCTCTGTGGGAGTGCCGTGTGCATGCGTGCCTGCCCTCGCGTGTCTGCCTGTCTGTGCCCCGCAGGAGGTGGCCCTGTCCCTGTGGCTGTCCTTCTCCGACCACACCCTGGCCCCCGCCGAGCTCTACCCCCACCAGGACCTGGGACTCTCTGTCTCCAC